TAAAAGAACTATGGTAAAGAAGAAATTGTCAAGACACCCTGATAAGCCTGGAGTTAGAAATACTTTGGAAATTTATTGGCTTTCAAAAGTCATGCATAGACGTCCTATTTTCCATCCCCAGAAGAAAGGATATGTGGAAAGGTGCTTCTAAAACATGGTTATACCTCAGAACCAAGTGAGGAATTTTTTAAGAAACAGACCAGTTATTTTACTTCACGTCTATCGAATCAGAATCCTCTGCAGTGGGACCCAGGAATCTTCATTTTCAGAAATCTCCCCCACATGGCACTGGGGCAGCCAGTTTCCTGCTGGGGATTTGAGAGCACTGAGTTGTAAAAACAGTGAGAATAACAGCTGCAGAGGTTGTTGCAAAAGGGCTCAGAACTGGTCAGTGTCCTGTACATCCCTGACGAACACTATGGGAAAACATTCATCACATCAGCCTGCATTGTTCAAGCTGCCACGTCGTAAGTCTTTTGTGTCTTTAGAAAGTATCACAAAGGCACAAGGAAGGGGCAGCACAAATATCTGAACATTGAATGAGCATTGTTTAACACTGATGTTTGCAGAGGTGATAACTAGCGCTGTGGTTGTGTATTTTTGGCCAAAACACTCTAAAATACCAATTTATTAAAATAAAAAAATATAGATAGCCTAAAGCCCAAGTATTTACGCAGATTTTTCAGCACTTCTGGTAATTTTTTTTTTTTTTAAAAATCAAGACTCAGCCATTTTGATAAAATATCTGCTTTAAGGAAGATAACAATACAGAAGATGTCATCAGTCACCTGCGAACACTGCCACACTGGGACTTTGTGGGCTAACCTAAGAAAATGTATTTCCTGGTAATCCTTCTGAATTGATCATCTTCATTGAGTGACTGTGACAGATAATCCAGGTAATGACATATGGAGATAATAATGGAAGTTCATTCAGACATATATTAAATAATGGAGACAGGAAAAAATCTTTTAAAACTAAACTTGACAGTCATCTATGATGTTTATTTCAAAATGTTTTGAAATAAATGTTATGAAACATTTGGTCTTCTTGATAAAAGAAGAGATGGTATTATAATCATTAGTTGACATTTCATTTTAAAAGCCAAAGCCAAGATTCTTTTTAGGCATTCAAATTTTTCTTAAGTCTTTTATTTCTGAACCTCAACCATCTAAAGTAAAACAGTCTTATTTAGACATTGTGAATAGGGTCAGTCAGAAAGTGGGTGCTGGGGGGAAGAATTGGTATCCAGGGACTGATACTTCACTCTGTTCAAAAACCATGTTCCAGAGTAACATGCATTTTAAAGTAGCTAATGTTTATCAGATGCAGTTGGCTAACCCTCAACTAAAAAAAATGGGTGATTTTTAGGTTGAAATTTGTGTCATGTATTCATTAAGTATGTTTAGTTTGGAGAAGCCATGAAAAAGGTGGACAAAAACTCTGAATGTATTTATTTGTGTAAGTAGGAGAATCCGGCACGGCTGGACCCAGTAATGTTGTCAAAGCCCTGTCTCTGCATGTCTTGGACAAGTGCTATGCATGGCTGGTAGGAAGGTCAATGAGTTACATCAGGCTCATATCTACCAACTTATAACTCTGACAAAAAGTGTTTCCTGAGAGCTCCAGCAGAAAAGACCGTGGAGGAATGGAATTTTCCAGGTTTGGATCATCTTTCATCCCCTAATCAATCACATTTTCATCTTTGCCTCTATCACCATTCCATAACTGGGAAGGGTAACTCTTGTAGGCTAGCCCTATGTCATTGGCTTCCTTTGTCAATGGATAAAGAAGCTGGGTTGGCCCTCCCTGAAGTCAAATGCCATGGTTTTCTCACAGAAGTGGTTCTCAGTAGGGTTGCTATTTGTTGGGACAATTCTTCATCAAACCCCTCTACCACAAATCACACAAACACATTGTGACAACCAAAAATATTCAGCGTGTTTTCAAATACTCCTTTTGGGGCACTTCTGGTAACAAACCGGTGATAGCTGCTGGAGCCATAAATATGAGTAAGACAGAACTTGGGTTTCTGTGTTTCCTTCACTTGACTTGAAATTATTATTATTCGCATGCATGGAGGTTTTGTGCCCTCTAGCCTTCTCCATTAGTTCATTACTTGCATTCTTGTTTCAGGCTTTTCTAAATGGTAATGTTCTGTTCCTTGAGTGGGGGAGGGGAGAAGAAAGAGGTCATCTCCTTGGGGGCTCAGCAGTGGGCGTTAAAATAGAACAGTATTTTTTCCTTGCCAGCAGCATTTGTACAAGCACCCAGTTCAGAAGGGAAGACATGACCAGTAGGGTAACATGGCACATGGGCAACCATAGAGAGCTGTAGAAGACTAGAGAAGAACCAGAAGCCTTCCTAACACTTCCACCAAATCTGAAGATGTATCAGAGGTCTAAGTATTACATGTCAAACACCTACATGGTGGATTTTGTCTTTGGGTTCCGATCATGCTCCGTTTCAGGAATCTCACAGAAATATACTTGGGTTTTTGGATTGGCTGAAAAATATTCCTGCTCTATGAATCCTGCCTCGTTTGCTCTGTTTGAGTCTCTCTCTCCTCCAGTATTTAAGATGGTGTTTGATAGGCCCTGAGGAGCATTGGACTGTATTTTGGCCTCTGATCCCAGTACCCCAAGAGTAATCTAAAATTCCAAGAGAATTTGGAGCAGATAGTTTTTTGCCAATCCTTAAAGCAGAATGTTTACTGGATTTGTAGAAGAAAATCGCCAAGAAAGTGCAAATTGTAACAAATTAAACCCCTAGGGCTCTGCAGTAATGTTCTGGCCTTGTAATTCCAGTGAACAGAACATTTTGCAGTTCACATCAGAGGTCATGGGAGAATCCCAAGGAAATACTGTAAACCAGAATTGTGGTCCTCCAAGCTGCTTGCCCCCAAGACCTTTGTATCACTGATTTATAGTATCACTTCAGTGGGGAAAGAACAGTATTAAGAGGAACTAAGTTTATGTGTTTAACAAGACTAAAAGAATTCTATGTAAAAAAATACTTCCAAAAACAACCCTATTAGCCATAGAAATAGCCAACTCCAAATTTATCTTACCACCTTTGTGTCTAAGAAATATCACTAAAGGCTAAGTGTTCACTAGCTTTGCTTTAAATGAAGTCATTGCCTGTTATTTCTTATTCTCTTTTGCATTTCCAGCATGGAGTTATCAAGTTGCCCTAGTTTCAGTTCTTACTACAGCCTTTGTCAAATGAGTGAGATATCTTAAATTAAAAACTCCTCTGAAACGCCAATTCAAAAGAACCTCTGCACCCCTATGTTCATGGCAATAGCCAAGTGCCGGAAACAGCCTAAGTGCCCATCAATAACTGAGTGGATCAAACAACTGTGGTATATTTACACAGTAGCAGAAAGAAAGAAGGAGCTCCTACCCTTCTCAACAGCATGGATGGAACTGGAGAGCATTATGCTAAGTGACATAGGCCAGGCTGTGAAAGACAAATACCATCTGATCTCACCTATAAGTGGAACCTAATCAACAAAACAAACAAATGAGCAAAATAGAACCAGAGACGTGGAAATAGAGAATAAACTGACAGTGACCGGGGTGGGAAGGGGGATAACGGGGGAAAGAAGGGGAAGGGTCAAGTCAAAGAACATGTATAAAGGACCCACGGACAAAGACAAGGGGGGGATAGAATGTGCAAGGTGGGGAGTGGGTAGGACAGGGGAGAATAATGGGGGGGGGGGAAACGGGGACAACTGTAACTGAACAACAATAAAAAAACCAAGAGGAATAAAAAAACTTAAAAATACTAATACAGATATTAAAGAGTTAAAATATTTAAAAAACTAATATAACCTTTTCTTTCTCCTTTACATACTCTTGGAATAACACCCATTGTAAGTAGAAACTGAGGCCAAGTTATTCCATTTAAATGAGAAAAAGTATAAAATGAAACACATGTACAATACCAAATTAATCAGCACTTAAGATAATCTAAAACTTGGCACGTGGGAAGGAATTGCCTAGGTATTATGCTTTCAAATAGCTATATAAGAAAGGATATGCATTTGGTTTAGCTCTCCCGGCAATTTACACAGTCATTTGGTTTAATCTAAAGACCAAAGAGAACAGAGCTGGCACGTGTTCAGTGGATGTCTCTGAAGACTTCATCGTCATGTCTAACACAATCTGCTGGAGACTTTTTTTGAGTAAACTATGAAATGATCAGGCTCTGGTTTAGATGTTTTGTTGCGTTATGAATTTTATTTTCCTTCTTTATTAAGGACAAGAGAACCTTGAATATATAATGCATAACAAATGATTTTACATTTGTGAATGTTTCTGATATTTTGGAACTTATTCATATTATTTTTAGTTTATTACCTTTTTCAAATTATGCCTTTATTTCTGTACTCACTTCAAGAATGAAACAACCTATGGGATCCTCCTTCTATCCCCAAATCAGGCAATTACATAAGCACATGTTCTCCTTAATTGTCCATATTTTGTATAATCTGTAATGTTGGTTACAGATATTCTCATTTTTACATTGCGAGTACTCTTTTCTAAAAACCTAGCCTTAATACTTACATTAAGGTTCACAAACATATTAACTAACAATTATTTAGAATAAATAGTAAGTTTTACTGAGTTCATTTCTCACAATTTTTTTCTCAGCACACTCTTCTGGATGTGTTCAAATTAACTTTTTTTTTTTTTTTTTTTTTTTTTAGATGTGAGGTTAATACAACATTCTGTACCCCTGGGAATGTAGATGTGCACCTTTGATAAATCTCTAGATTTGAACAATGTGAATAGCTTTAGCCTGGTTTACCGCAGACTCCACTGCTCCGCCCTGCCTGCCTGGTCTGCCTGCATAGCAGTTTGAGTTTATAAATTCTTTTCTAGACCTTCGTCGACCACATGCAGTTTCATATATCCAAGTGTTCAAACTGTGATCCTGAATTCTTACACTGAATGGCACTCTGCCTAATACCTTTTTTTCTTTTCTCGGATTAGGCTTTGGAAGATCAGGTATGGGAACTCCTGCGGGAAGCGGACAAGACAGCCGAAGAGAACAAGGATCAGAGTCGGGTGTATGACGCCATGGCCACTACCCTGGGTGAAGCCTGGGCAGCCCTGGTCTCCATGCTGGAAGGAAGAAGGGAGCTCCTCAGGTTGACCTCTGAATTTTTTGAAAGTGCCTTGGAGGTTTGTATTATAAAACAAAAACAAAAACAAGCAAAAAAAACACAAAAAACTCTTTTCCCTTCTCTATGTCCTAACAAATGAATAATACTCGTGATATGTTTTATTTCTGCAAACAGACATTGTGACTGGTTCAAAAAAACGGCAGAATACCAAAGATTATATATATTACATTTAATTCTTGATTGTCAAAAGATAAAATTTTAATACTTTAAATGTAGGCCTTCAAACCAAACTAAGTACTGTTCACTAAAATTAAATAAAATATTAAAAAAATAGGAACTCTACTTATATGTCATTATGATATATTTCCCTTTGTAGAAATAGTAATATAATTACTAAATCAAACAAGTACCCCTGATTATAGGATTACTAGGAAATGATGGTGTAGAGTGTTCTTATCGACTGAAAGTTGTTGACTAAAAGTTCTGCTTATGCAAAGGGAATTGCAGAATATTCCATAGAATGTTTGAATTGTAAACACAGCATTTTATAAAGTTCTTTTCTAAGGCATATAGTTGAGTTACTGTAGTTTGAATTCATTAAAATGTAAGGGAAGGAAAAAGTTCTGAGCCTAAAAAAATCATTTCCCCCTATGATTTTTCTTAAATTCTGCAATGTTTTGAGGTTCCAAATTTCAAAATATGATACTCAAAGGACATCATCAAAAGAGATGTTATGGCTGGTATAAGACAGTTATTGGAAATTTCACTTTTAACTTCTCTGCGAAGTGCCAGTGCATTCAGTTTGATGTGAAAGGACTGCTTCATTATGGTGAAGTACACGCTTTGAAAAATAGGACATTTCCAAACCGAAAATTTGGGACTTAAATTCAAAATAATGAAGGAAAAAGATTAGTAATAGACCATAATAATTGAGGTAGACAATCTCATGCCTCGTGAACTTGGTTGAAAGTAAAAAAGAGGGGCAAAAGCCTTATTGTAATTTTCATCGTTTGTTTTCCACAATTTGAACATGGAAGTCCAACTCACAATTGATTTTACAGATCATCTTGGAGAAACTATGCACAATTTTCTTTCCTGAATAGAAATATCCAGGTGAAATACACCTACACAGGTCAAATTACAGATACATGTGATTTATTCCATCTTAGTGAGGTAGAGGTGTCAGCTGCCCTTGACATTCCCCTCATTTGAGCACAGCAAATTACCTTTTTTTAAATATTAGACTCAATATTTGTTTTTTACTGTGTAGTAGCGTTAATGCTAGCTGATTTTCTCTTTAAGAAATTACTTCCAGATAATACATTAAATAAAATAAAACTAAGTCAATCTATAATTCAGCCCAGAACTCCAATTCCTAGTGAAGTAACTGTTTCTTTTCTTTTACATTATATATTAGTTTTGTTTATCTACTTTAAAAATACCACCTTTTTATTATTTTATTGTTATTCTATTACAGGTGGCCCAATTTTTCTCCTTTCGTCCTCCTCGGCCCAGCCCGTTCCCCGGCTCCCACAGTCAGTCCCCACACTGCCGTCCACGGCCACGACTCATTCATAGATACTTCTTGACTAGTCCCTTCCCCTTCTTTCCACCATTGTCCTCCTCCCCCCTCACCTCTGGCCGTTGTCTTTCTGTTCCGTTTCCATGTCTCTGGTTCTATTTTGCTCATTAGTTTATTTTGTTCATTAGATTCCTCTTATAAGTGAGATCACATGGTATTTGTTTTTCACTGCCTGGCTTATTTCACTTTGCATAATACTCTCCAGTTCTATCCATGCTGTTGCAAAAAGTAGGCCTTCCTTCTTTCCATTGCATCATATCCCATTGCGTAAATGTACCACAGTTTTTTGGTGCACTCATCTAGTGATGAGCACTTAGGCTGTTTCCAGCAGTTGGCTATATAAAATAGCACTGCTATAAACACAGAAATCCATAAGATCTTTTGAACTGGTGTTTTGGGATTCTTAGGGTGTACTCCTAGCAGTGAAATCAGTGGGTATAAATGCAGTTCCATGTTTAATTGTTTGAGGAAATTCCATCCTGTTTTCCACAGTGGCTGCACCAGTCTGCATTCCCACCGAAAGTGTACTAGGGTTCCCGTTTTTCCCACGTCCTTGCCAGCACTTGTTTGTTGATTAATTAGTGATAGTTATTCTGACAGGAGTGAGGTGATATCTCATTGTGGTTCTAATTTGCATTTCTCTGATGGCGAGTGATGCTGAGCATCCTTTCATATAGCTATGTGCCGTCTGTATGTCCTCCTTGGAGAGGTGCCTGTTCAGATCCTTTGCCCGTTTTTCAATTCTATTGTTTCTATTCCTGGTGTTGAGTCATGAGTTCTTTATATTGAAATGGCTATTTCTTATATCATTCTGCTTCCAATTTTGTGGAGCACTTCATACTTAGCTTAAGGCAAACCACTGCATGATATTCCCTGCCCCTGGTGTATGCCAAAGCAATTTTCATCAATGATTTTTTTTTAAAGAGAAAGGGTGACATTAAAAATAGGTGTTTTGAAAAATTCTTCTCATCACCAGTTTATTCTATACAAGCCAAAGAAAGAAGAAAAGCAGGGAAAAGATAATATCCATAAGATAAAAGTTAACAGCATATTAGGTAACACTTTCCTGAATAAAATTTTTTGTGTATTTTAGAAATGTTAAATAACAAGCTGAAATAAAGTGACTCCAGAACTTTTTTGTGATATTTGACAGGGAAAAAATAAATTACCTACATGATTTTTATTTTTTTGTTTTTGTTTGAAAGTTCTGCTCAAGGAATGCTTTTAAAATCAGTTACCAGAAATGGAATGAATTAGAGATGTAAATGATATGTGCGTAGGGTTCTCTTATTGAACTATGTGCATTCAAGAGTTCTTTAGAAAGGCAAATGATTTCTCATTTCATGGTAGACACTTACTAGAGGACAGTTTCTGGCTCATGCACTTTACCATCAGAAAGGTTTTTCTCTTCTCGTATATAGTGCTTCACTTTAAAAACATTGCCCCTAAGTGACAATGGCGGGTGCCCCTCAGATTGTTCTGCCATCACGGTGCAGGCCTTCTCTACATTCCTGAAGACATGCTCACTAGTCTCTCACCATTCCATGCCATTTATAACTGGATTTTACATGGCTCTCGTAACAATAACAGCATATCTTGTTAATCAAACAGTTATATAAAAGAATGAAAAATCACTAAATTTAAAATGGCCATTTGGAAACCTCTTGAAAAAGAAGACAAGCACTGTGATGGGCTTTTGTCTTTCTCACTGATACGGTGCCTTTAGAAGTTTAATCTATGCTTGATCCAAAGGTGAACACGTTGATTAAAATGTTCTTACAAACTATAATAATCACCTTTGAATCTCAGTGTTAAAACAAACCATCTATCTGCTACCATGAATATATCATACGGGTGTAACCAAGTATGCTTTGCCCTTTTCTAAAAATTGGTTTTGAAGATTAGTCCCCTGAGAATTTTAACATCACTTCAAGCATCTCTCCTTTATACTTCCTCCATGGAGAAACACACAAAAAGCGATCAGTCATATTCCCCACCATTTAGGATGTCAAATTCAAATTGCTATTCTTTTTTTTTTTGAGACAAAGGAGAAATTTTCCCTTTTTCATTCTTGCTGCATTAAATCTCATTTTTGTATATAAATAATGCATATAATTATTTATGAAACTGCAAACAAAACCACAGATTTAAAAACTAAACTTTTACCTTCCTTAACTCATAACAAAACCCATTCGTTCTCATAATGTAACTTAATATATATATATATGTAGTGTGTGTGTGTATATAACATATATAAATATATAATAAATAGAATTAAATAAGCATAATTATGCAATAAATGTAAATATAATAAATATATAATGTAGATATATATTATATATAATATAAACACACACAAAGCATATATATACTTTGTATAAGAAATGGGATTAGACATTGCTTCTTGGCCTCTTGGCTAAGATCAAGTTTAGAAATGGTATTGGACTATGTATTAGTTTTGAAACTTAATTTTTCAGGTCTAGATCTAATTATAGAGGGGAAAAAAACCTTGCATTTCAACCTTCCCTCTAAATAGGTTCTTAATTTAAATTTATTTATAATTATGTTATCACGGGTTAGCCAAACTCCTGTTGATTTCTCCTAGCAAACAATTTGGTAATTCTTTGACAAATTGCCTTATAATGTTAAAAGTGGCTGTATTCATTACAGTGGACACAAAAATTTTAGTTGAAAAATTTAATAGACATTTGAACAGTGAACAAGTTGGTTTATTTCAGCATACATTATGTATTTCCAGGCATGACAGGAATGCAAAGGAATGAGAAAAAATTGTTGCCTTGGTACTTTGTAAGTTGACTACATGTGAACACACATCCTCACACAAACACATACAGAGCTAGACTATGAACTCATAAAAAAAAAATCTGTATATAACTAAAAGTGGCACATTGATTTTTATTTCTTCAAATGTCTTTTCTCTATATTTCTCTTGTAGTTTGCTATTAAAATAGATCAAGCAGAAGATTTCCTCCAGAACACTCAGGAGTTTGAGAGCACTGAGTCCTTAAAATCACTTCTTCAGCTTCATGAACGTCATACTAAAGGCAAGAACTATGTTTATTCTTCATATAAGCTTTTAAGTATTTTAAAAGATGTTAATGGGAGAATGCTTGTGTACGATTGTGTTTTTAATTTATGTATTTTAAGTATACCTCAACTCGTTCTAAGAAAGGTTAAAGAAGGCTCTTTTTAGGGCTGTCTTGTGCAAGAAAGAAGTAGTTGTAAATGGTTTTAAGGGGATAGTGGAGGAACGGCCTCTGGAAGGTCACATGGTAACTCTGGCTGTCACTCAGTCTGCTAGATTTTAGTTCCTGAGCACATGGGCCATTTTCACCTTGTGCCTCTGTTATCCTCAGCATCTAGCCTGGCGTTGGCACCCGGTGGACCCTCAAGATACATTTCTTGGTCAAATAAATGGTTGAATACAGTGATTGTTTCTTCTCAGGGACAGTGAATGGAAGTCAGCCTTTAAATAACAGCTCTGGATAAGGAAAATCCCTCTTTCACTATTGCAGTTTAAAAATAAAAAATAGTGAAAAACTTCCAGATTAAGAGGTCTAAGACTTTCAGCTCCCTCTGAACAACTATCAATGTAGTCTAATGGTTAGCCAATAATTTCTAACAGAATTTGGGGTTGGCGAAATTGCAGTAGAGAAGGCATTTGTGACAGAGTAGCTGCCTGATGTAATTTTTTTCCTGTGGAAACAGGTGAGATAGGAGCAACACTTCTTTTATTTCTAGTGCATTTTTCTAACTATTACTGCCAAAACCTTGGGTATGAGTGGCTGGTGTCCTGGACTGTTTTGTCACAGTTCTAACTCAGCTTCAAGCTTGACCAACGGATCATGCTGGTCAAGGGCAAAAAAGGTGTTTTTAAAGCCACAAATAGATTTTGTGTTTCTATCATCCTCCAAAGAGACCCTAATAATAGATCATTGCTCTTCCAAAAGTCAAAGATTAAAGGACTTAATCTTTCCTGTGTAAATTATGAGACGCTACCACATATGTACATGTAATTTTAACGGATTGTTGTTATTTAGGACCTGTCACTGACAGGGGTTATCAGCAGCGTCGGAAATAACAGCCTTAACACAGCAGCCCGCTCATTTTTGTTTAGCAACAGCATTCCAGCTGGGTCCAAAGAGGGTGAATAGAATCACAGAAAATTCCTCTTAGGACACTGGAATGTGAATCCAGGTCCAGGTCACTGCAATGGGTTCTGTGGTCTCAATTCAGCCTGCATCCAGCCAATATGATCATCACATAGCAATTGTACCTCCCAAACCTGACAGGGGCTGATGCTTTTGTGGAAGAGGTTTGGTACTGCACCAGTCAAATGCAGGCATTTTTTTAGGGGTGGGGAGTGGGTGGGAGTAGGGACTTTTCCATATGTATTTGGGGTTAGCGCTGAAAGGGAAAAATAGCCTTAATGCTGTTTTGTTGTTGTTGTTGTTGTTGTTGTTTTGGCTCCTTCAGAGTTACTGGGGTCTGTGGCAGATGGTCACGCGCTGCTTTGTTTGGAAGCCAGGGCCTTGCAGCCTAAGGCTCCGGCTTGCAGAGGAACCAGGGGCCTGCCTTTCACAGTATGTCTGCAAGTGTCCAGCAGGGCCCCTCTTACTCTGAAAAGATGGGTGAAAATGCTAGCTGAAGGCAGAAAATATCGTTTATTTTTGTGGTGACCAAACATTCTTTCTTCCTTCCCTCCTGAGGGCATGTTTATCATGACGTTTTTGAGTTTTCTCTATGTGATACTTGAAGCAGAGAGATCACAGGGGGCCCTGGTCAGGGTATCTGGCTCCCAATTCCTATGCCCAACAGTGGCTTCAAGGGCTTTGTTTTCATTAAATGGGAGTAGATGAAACTTGTTTAATAAGTAATTCAGTGGAACATGATTAAGATTAGCTGATTTAAATATGCATATTCAAGGACAAAATTCTGATTTTCAGTTAAGGACCCCATATCTGACTTAGTCTTTTCAGACTGTTATAACAAAATGCCACAGACTTGGTGGTTTATAAATGACAGATACTTATTTCTCACAGTTCTGGAGGCTGGGAGTCTGAGATCAGAGTGCCAGCCTGGTCGGATGAGGGCTCTCTTCAGGTTCCAGATTTCCCATTGTATCCGCACGTGGGGGAAGGGGATCAGAAGCCCTGTGAGGGCTCTTTTAGTAAGACAACCAGTCCTAGTCATGAAGCCTCCTCCCTCATGACCTAATCACCTCTCAAGGTCCCCACCTCCTAATACCGTCACCTTGAACATTAAGATTTCAACATAGGAGTTTTAGGGGGACACAAACAATCAGACCATAGCAATATTTATCATTTTTAAATTTAAGGAAAAAATACATCTATAACTTAGTTTATAACTGGAAATTTGTGCCTCTTGATCCCCTTTACTTACTTCTCCCACCCAAGCCCGTCCCCGTTCTGGCAAATGACAACATTCCATTCTTTTTTATGGATGAGTAGTATTACATTGTATATAGATGTACCATGGCTTTTTTATTCCTTCATTTGTTGATAGACACTTGGGTTGCTTCCAGGCTGGGCTTAGATAAATGTACAGCTAAGGGAATATAGTCAATCGTATTACAATAATGGTTAAGAGATGGTAACTAGATTTATTGTGGTGATCATTCTGTAATGTATATAAATATTGAATTGCTATGATGTGCACCTGAAACATTATAACTAATTATATTTCAATAAAAATATAGAAATATATCTATTAATGAAGCTAGCCATCCTATTAAGTTTCTGAAATGATCAGTGAGAAGCACAAAATAAGAATGTGAGGATGACAGAGGTTAATAATGTAACTGGAAAAACCATAATCAAACTTATCCCTAATATTCATTTTATTTCAATTAGCTTCCCCTATGTTTTTTCCTTATTCACCAATGCTAAGGCTGTTTTGTATATTAGAAACCTATGATAGAACATTGTAGAAGTCAGACCAGGATGAATGGGTTGAAGTTACTGCCCTTTGGAATGTTCCAGACTAAGTCTGTTCTCTCCTTCATGTGACAATCCTTCAAATAGTTGAAGACCAATATGTCCTCTCCAGCCTTCTTTTCTATGGATGAAACATGCCTAGTTAGTTAAAGTGTTTTCCAGAAAGCATAGTTTCAACATCACTTACTAGCCTGTTGGCCTTCAGTTCCACAACATTTAAGTAAACAATGGTTTTTGAACCCATGCCAGGAGAGAAACCCAGAGCCATGTGTCAGGGAGTACAGGGCTGTTGCCCTCAGGAAGCCTTCAGTTTGATGGGGCCTGTGCACATTTACTGGTGAGCGCCCTCTGCGCTCCTGCAGGCTCTGTGCTGTATCGCTTGGCGCTGCGCAGCAATCATTTATTCCCTCATTTGTCACTATCACCAAATTGTGAGACCACAACTTGGTGTTCTAATCCCTGCCCAGAGGGCAGGGATTAGAACATCTCTGAATCTCCAGGACTTAGAATAGCCTCCATTCCAAAGTATGCTTACTGAGTGAGATTTGTATTTAATCACAATGTAAGACAAGATAAAACGCTGGAAACTTGAGTAATACACACAGTTCTCTGGAGACATTGAGGAGAAGAAAGCCGGTTCTAAGTGCTGAAGGATCACAATTGGACCCTCCAGACTTCCAACTGCCTTCTTGAAATAAATGTAACACATAAGAAGCTTCCTCGCAGGAAGAATCATATTGTTACTTCCTTATTCTTAGATGTTATGTATGTCTTAAATGTAGCTGAGATATAGGTTCGTTGGGGCCCATTATACTGTTCTCTCTGATTTTGTGTATATTTGAAAATGCTCATTGAATGAGTTTAAGAAACACTATTCCATGAGGAACATTTGGAATATTTTAAAATGTATTAGGAAGAAATAGCATCCATGATCTCAATGCCAAGTCTGTGACCTGGATACTTTTTAGAAAATACTCATTTGGAAATATTGTTTATCAAGCTATAAATTCACTTAACTTGTGTACATTCCTCATTTATCTATCTTGAATTTTCTATTTATGCTTACTAATTATGGCAAACTGTATTATGTTACTTTTTTTAGATATAATGACAATAAAAACAATTAAACAATTAAAATTTATTAAATATCTGCTAGCCTCATATTACAAGGTATTATGTCAGTAAGTAGGGTTTTGTAAATGCAAAACATGCAATCTTGATGGCCAAGGAATTAAAATGAAGAAGAAGAAGAAAATATTACCCTTTGAAACAGCATGGATGGACTTGGAGAACATTATGCTAAGTGAAATAAGCCAGTCAGAGAAAAACAAATACCATGGGATCTCACATATGATGTGAGATCTAATGAACAAACTGAACTAACAAGACCCAAAGATAGAGAGCAGTTGATAGCTGTGGGTGGGGGTAAGGAGTGGAGGGATCGAGCAAAAATGGACAATAGTGTGGTGATCGCCGGGTGTGGGGAGGGAGGGAGGTATAAGGGGGATAAATGATCATGGAAAATAATACAATAGAAAAAGAAATTTTAGAATAGCTTTCCATAAAAGTCTTTAAAAATGATTTTTTTCATGAAGGTTAGCCCAACTCTTCAACAACAATTTTATAAATAAGGAACTGGAGTTGATGAAGTAAACTGGCTTTAAATAAACTGGACAACAAAAAGAAAGAAAACTTTCCCTCTTCTACTTTAAAAAAATGGCCTGATATTGTTTTAATGATGCATTCTTCAGGTAATTTTAGAACATGTAATGTTACCCAGGGATCTGACTGGAGCTCTGTTCCAACAGCTAATATTGATGGCCATCATTAGTTGTCTACTTCAGTTTGTGGCTCCTAAGATTCCTGACCCTGGATTAAATATACTGCATAAGTAATAAGACATATGTATTTCTTCCACTTCATATTTCTATTAATGCTTACAAAATAAAATTTATTCATATTAAAAACAAAAAATACAAATACAATCTTTAAAATAAATGCATTATAGAGATTTTATATTTCTTGGAAGTCATGATACATCTAGATAGTTTTGCCTTGAGAAAAAAATATAGCATTTTGTATGATCAACTGAAGGAATAAGTAGCCAGAAAAAGATACACAGTATAATAGTAAAATGTAAGAAACTGACAGAGGGAACTGAGGGGATAATTTTGCCACTTTAATGACTGCCTTAGTAGCCATAACAGATTGATTTTAGCCTGGGTCCATTTTACAAGTTAACTTTGGCTCAGGTAGCTGTATTGCTGGTGATACTATGGTAGTGGTTAAACTGTTTTGGCAGAAGCTGAAACAGAAACCAGAAAATGATTGCAAGTGGAAATTTTGGCTAATTTTATATATTTTGTAGGGACCAGAACAGGTTGGCTTATTCCACTGTCTGTATCCAATCTCCTAAAGTTGTGCTTCCTTTCTCATTTGAAAAGTCTAGTGTGTGAGGGCTAGTTGCAGAAAGAAAGAAAAGAAACAAGTATATGGAGAGCCTGCCACCTGCCCATACTTTCCATGTGTGTGTGGTGTGCCTTATATATATATATATACATTCACTCATACTGATTATTACATTAAGATTATACAAATTAAAACTCTTTGGTTTGATAGGCAAGGACTCTAACCTACCTTCACCTTGTTTCTGCAGTTGTTTCTTTTACTTCCACATAAAAACTTGTTCTAGGCAGATAGGCTTTTTTCCGCCCTGTCCCTCTTGTGTTGTTTACATCCAATTCCATTTCGTTGTTTAAGTGATTTACTCTAATTTTAATATTCTCTCTGACTTTCCCTGTTCTATTTGAATTATCCCATCCTCTGTCCTCATTCAAGTCTGTAGTTGTTTTTGTTTGTTTCTTATATTGTTGACACCCAATTGAATGGCCAAGCGCACATAATCACACTTTCCTTGCTCTGAGCAGATAACAAACACCATTTATTACCTTATTAGACAGATTTAGGTCATGTGGCATAAACACTTCACATTCTTTCCTTTTCATCTCAAGATGTCTCTTCACAGTATCTTCACTTATCTCATCCTCTCTGCCAGCTCTCCAGCTCTCAGTCAAAAGGAACAACTGGCCCAACTACTGCCGCTTAATCATTGCTGTGTAGTTTACTGCCAAATGTTAGAATGCTAAAGCAGAATGTCACAGTATAGCTGATGTGTTTTAGTGCATTTCTCATAGTGTGATGTTTGGTAATGTACCTACCCTCTAGATGTTCTTTGCAGTTTTCATCCTAAAAAAAAAAAAAGGCTGATTTTCTATCCTTTATTTTTCCACCTCAAATATTTTATTTTATTTATTTTTTAAAGTATATTTCTCCCCTGTATTCCCCTCAGCCCTGCACCCCCTCTTCCACCAGCATTCCCCCCACTTAGTTCATGTCCATGGGTCGTACATATAAGTTCTTTGGCTTCTCCATTTCCTGTACTATTCTTAACTTACCCCTGCCTATTTTGTGCCTACCATTTATGCTTCTTATTCCCTGTACCTTTTTCCCCTCTCCCCCTGATAACCCTCCATGTGATCTCCATTTCTGTGATTCTGTCCCTGTTTTAGTTGTTTGCTTAGTTTGTCTTTGTTTTTAGGTTCAGTTGTTGATAGTTGTGAGTTTCTTGTCATTTTAATGTTCATAGTTTTGATATTATTTTTCCTGGATAAGTCCCTTTAACATTTCATACAATAAGGATTTGGTGATGATGAACTCCTTTAACTTGACCTTATCTGGGAAGCACTTCTTCTGCCCTTCCATTCTAAATGATAGCTTTGCTGGATAGAGTAATCTTGGATGCAGGTCCTTGCCTTTCATGACTTTGAATACTTTTTGCCAACTCCTTCTTGTCTGTAAGGTTTCTTTTGAGAAATCAGCTGATAGTCTTATGGGAACTCTTTTGTAGGTAACTGTCTCCTTTTCTCTTGCTGCTTTTAAGATTCTCTCCTTATCTTTAATCTTGGATAATGTAATTATGATGTGCCTTGGTGTGTGCTTCCTTTGGTCCAATTTCTTTGGGACTCTCTGAGCTTCCTGGACTTCCTGGAAGTCTATTTCCTTGGCCAGACTGGGGAAGTTCTCCTTCATTATTTTTTCAAATAAGTTTTCAATTTCTAGCTCTTCCTCTTCTCCTTCTGGCACCCCTATGATTCAGATGTTGGAACATTTAAAGTTGTCCTGGAGGTTCCCAAGCCTCTCCTCATTTTTCTGAATTCTTGTTTCTTCATTCTGTTCTGGTTGAATGTTTATTTCTTCTTTATGCTACAAATCATTGATTTGAGTCCCAGTTTCCTTCCCTTCACTCTTGATTCCATGTATATTTTTCTTTATTTCACTTTGCATAGCCTTCTCTTTTTCCTCTATTTTGCAATCATACTCAACCATTTCTGTAAGTATCTTGGTTTACCAGTGTTTTGACCTGTGCCTCTGATAGGTTGGCTCTCTCTTCATTACTTAGTTGTATTTTTTTCTGGAGTTTTGATCTATTCTTTCATTTGGGCCATATTTCTTTGTCTCAGTGCACCTGTTACATTGGAAGGGGCAGAGCCTTAGGTATTCCTTTGGGTGGAGTAACCCACATCACGACGTTGTGGTGCTGTCTGAGGGGAGGGGGTCAGAGAGGGAACAGTGCTGCTTGCTTGACTCTTGGCTGGCTTTCAGTCACTTCCCCTGCTACCCTCAAGCAAATTGGGTCCTCCTGGTGCTGATTCCTCTGTGGGTGGGTTTGTGTATGTTCTAGGACCCTGTGCATCTCTCCAAAGAACTCTCCTGTGAGGCTGGGTGTTTCTTCTGCTGCTGCAACCCCCATAAGTTTTTACAGCCAGAGGTTCTGAGACTTTCCTTTCCTGCACTACAACCCTGGGCTGTGTGGTCTCACTCCCTTGTTTTTCCTCCTGGTTTATCTGCATGCAAACGTGGGACCATCTGGTCCTCCAGCCACCAGTTTGCTACGTCCTCTCTGCCCCAGCTGCCCATCTCCACCCCTCCTTCCTGTCTGGATGAATGTTTTTTCTTTAACACTTTGGTTGTCAGACTTCCATACAGTTCGATTTTCTGACAGCTCTTGTTTTTTGTTTTTAAATTTGTTGTTGTACTTCTTTTGGTTGTGCAAGGAGGCAAAGCATATCTACCTATGCCTCCATATTGGACGGAAGTTTTTTCCTTCTGAGAACAAAAATATCAAAGATTTCCTGTCTTGTTGACTTCATTATCTGGTAACTTGCCTTCTGTTTCTATCACTTACTGTCATAAAACCCCAAATCTTTTCAATGTCTTTTTTCACATCTCTGGAGGACTCCTGATCTCTATTATCTACAGCTCTTCTAATTTGCCCCCCTCTTTTAATACATTTGATCTCATTCAAGCATTCTACAGAAGTTGAACATCTTTCCTGTGCCAGTCACTATGCTAAGTGCTGGGGATACAGTCAGAGTCCCTCGGGATAGTCCCTGTCCTCATATTGCATTGGAACCTAATGGCAAAAACAGAGATTAATTAACTAACCTGACACATAAATGTAAAACTATATCCATGATAGAGCAGTGAATGACAGGAACATTGTGCTATGAGAATACGTAATAGGAGTATTTAATTCAATCACATTTGTCCTTTGAAGAACTGACAATTGACCAGGACCTGAAGCATGAATAGAATGAAGGTGCAGAAGGCAGAGGTTGAGGAGAATGGTGTCCCTGCCACAGGACACAGTAAAACATTCTGGGGCAGGAGAGAGAATGGCTGGGGCAGGAGAGAGAATGGCAAGTGTGAGTTAGTTAAAGAAGATATGGATAAGGGGTAGAGAAATTGAAACAATCTGAAAGGTAAGACCAGACCATATCAGACCTGTAAAGTCTAAGACAATGGGAAAACCATTGTTTCAAGTGTCTGTGTGTGACATACTGTGTTTAGAAAAGAGCTCTCTGGCTAATGCATTGAGAATGGATGAATGTGTTGGAGAGAGGATGTAATTAAGAGGCAACTGTACAAGTTTAGGCAGACAGATGATGGTTTTTGTAGTGGAGACGGAGAAAAGTGGGCAGATTCAGGAGATGAGGGTGAAACTGATAGGTCTTGAGAATGGTGAGGTTAGGGAAGAGGATGTGTCAAGGATGACTCCTTGGTTTCTCGCTTGTGGAGAGTTCACACTTGCCCAGCTGCTCCTCCACGTAATCACCAAGGGTGGTTGTTTCTCAAAGTGCTGTTCTCAACTCCCCTTTTTATACTCTCTCCCTTGGTGATCCTTCAGTTTTACACTTAAACTCCCATTTTTGCAAGATGTTACCCAAACTGCAATCCTGTTCACTCCAGAGGGCAGAAACTGGTGGCCCATTTGGCAGAGAAACACGTTTTATTTATCCTTCAGTATTTTTTTAATTAAAAACACAAATTAAAAACATTTAAAATTGGAAGCTTTCACATAAAAATCTATATTTATAATTCTTTTAAAAATTTAAGCTTTGTCAACAATAACGTATTCTCTCATGTCAACAGTTGGCCAGAACTGCTGACAGCTGACCCTTGTTAGACTGACCACCCATTTCCCACCTTGCCGTAGGCCCTGGCATCTGGGGCCCTGGCCACCGTTCATTGATTTTTTTTGTTTGTTCACTACAGGTATTAACCTTTAAACCTCAGCTTTAGTCAATCACCCCAGAATAGAGAGCGCTTCAAGGAGAGTAGGCACCTTAACCAGCATCAGACCACTAAAAACCACCTAAACCAGTGTTCAAATCCTGTCGTCTTTTTACTCCCTATACTGAATTACACTATTGCTAAATGTCAGCATCCTAGCATTTGGCAGTAATCCTATCGTAATTGTTGGACTGTGGTATTTGACCACTTGTATTGTAGGCATTTTATGTTTACACATTTGGTTTTCTTATTCCAGAATGAAGGTTATATATATTTTTAGTTATATGAAGAGTCCAAATATTACTATATTAATGTTTGCTCTTATCATTATTGTTTTCTTTCTAATTTTCTTCTAGAACTCTTAGAACACTCTCTAGCCCTTCTAAACAAAAGTCAACAACTCACTGACTTCATAGAAAACTTCAAGTGTGATGGACCTAATGTAAATCCTGAGCTGATGCAGGGGGCTCGTAGTAGCTGCCTGAAGATTGACAGTCTTCTTGAACTTCTACAAGACAGGAGACGGCAACTAGACAAGTACCTGAAGCAACAACGGCAGGAATTGAGTCAGGTTCTGCAGATATGTCAGTGGGACCAACAAGAAAATCAGGTAATCCCAAGGGACACTGATGACGTCCTGACCTCAGCTAATGGAGTCTCGCTATTAAGTGGACTAGTTATTTCCTGGGCCAGTTTCTCATTTGTCATTGTCAAATTCTTTGGTCTCTGGTCCAAACTACCTTGTTGTTTTCCCAAGCAAGTAATATAACAACAAGTACTTTTATTTCCTCCTATTAAAACATGGATTTCATAAATGGGATCATACCACTGAGCAGTTTTGAAATGACTATTGTTAGATTCTCTTTCTCACTATTTTCCAGATCACTGCTTTTAGGTACATTTCTTTGAAATTCTGAAATGTGAACTGCAGTTGTCTTGAAAGTTGGAGGGGCGTGAATGTGCTGAGTTATACTAGATTGCTGCTAATGTCAGTGAAAAAATTCATCAGTGAAAGATTATGCTCTTAGAAGAATGGTCTGGTGCCAATGAAAAAATATGACCCTAGCCTATGGCTGGGTGCTCTGTGGTTAGAGGGCTTTAGGGTAGAGGGATGATTAGTCTGCAAGCTTATTAGAGCTCATGACCCAGACTGCAGGCACAGCTCCGATCAGTTGTCACTATATTTGCATTCATTCCTTGTACCTGTCACTTGAAGGTAAGAGTGGATGGAACTCTCTTTGCAAACTCCCAACTCAAATAGGTGGGATATTTATTGCAATATAACTAACTGCCTCAATCCCATGCTTAAATCTATGTATAGATTAAATAGAGGAAATTTTCAGAGAGAAATGATGTGGAAGGAGGTTTCCTGGTCTGGATGCATAGGAAAAGTGTCTCTTCACATGTTTTATATTATTGCTCTGATCTAAATTGGAGGGACATATTGGAGCTGGGAGCAAATATGAGTCCGGGAGAAACTGGTCCTTATTTTAAGCTGGAAAAGATGAGGACTTAAATGATGGCCAAGCTTTCAACTAATGCTGAGTACCTACTGTGTACAGGTCCTATTATAAATAGTGAAGATACACAACACACAAGGAAAGTCCTTTTTGTTCCTCTAGGAATTTCCATCTAATACAGTTTCTCAGCCACAGCACTATTGCCATTTGGTCTAGGTAATTCCTTTTGAGAGGCTGTCCTGTCCGCTCTTGGATGTTGAGCACCATCTATAATCTCAACCCACAAGATGCTAGTAGAACGTACTTCATTTGTGACATCCAAAAATGTCTCCAGACACTGGCAAATGTCCACTGGGGCGGGGGGGGGGGGCGCAAAATTACTCCAGATGAGGACCGCTGTTCTAGTGCAATAAGAAAGATCTATAGAAACAAATGAGCAATAATAAGTCCTATAATGAAAATCAAATGGAACAATAAATTCTGTCCTGTGTTGGTCTCCTTCAGTTAGAGAAGGAATCAGAGAAGACCTTTCTGAGGAGGCAGCATAGAGCAGAGACCTAAACGCAGACACCTCCACTTGTCACCTCCTTCTCCAAGTCACTATACGCTTTTGAAGCCATCTCTGCTTTCAGCCCTTTTCCCTTGACCACTGGCAGCCACTGCCCCATATCTGTTGTATTGTGCTGCCAACTCCCTTCCCTAATTTAACTCTTTCCCCACCCCACCTATCCGTGTTTGTTCCCAGAGTACTATTATTTAATGCAATAGTAGTTTACTGATGATTCTGGCATAACAAAAGGGAATTAATACTCAGGACAAGAGTCAATCTAAAACCATTTCTTAATCAGTTGTTTCCAAAGTTACTTGTCCTCCCTATCATAAATGGGTCTGTTTCTTTTTGTCCCTTTCTGTCTCTCTCGCTCTCTCTCTCTCTCTCTCTCTCTCTCTCTCTCTTTCCTAATTCAGATCTGATACCCTTCATCTTATCTCTTTTCATTTAGTTCATAACCCCAAACACTTGCCTCTGGTGATTCCCAAAACACACTAAAAACTCCTCCCTCTTGCTTTATTATACAAGTACTTTACACTAGGCTTTCCTTACCTGCAGTTTCATTCTCTGTGGTTTCAGTTACCTGCAGTCTGAAAATATTAAATAAAAAATTCCAAAAATAAACAATCCACAGGTGTCAGGTTATATGCCATTCTGAATAGCATGATGAAATCTTATGCCATCCAGCCCTCGCTATGAATCATCTCTTTGTCCAGCGTATCCTTGCTTTATATGCTACTTGCGTGTTAGACAGTTGTCAGATCAACTGTTACAATATTGCAGTGCTTATGTTCGGATAACCCTTATTTTACTTAATGGCCCCAGAGCTCAAGAGCAGTAATGCTGGCAATTCAAATATGCCATAAAGTGCTTCCTTTAACTGAAAAAGTGAAAGCTCTCCCCTTAGTAAGGCCTTTGTCATTTCATATGATCACAGGAGAAGGTTGAGTAAGTACAATAAGGTATTTTGAAAGAGAGAGAGACCATATCTGTATAACTTTTTATGGGATATTGCTGTAATTGTTCTATTTTGTAATTGTTAATCTCTTACTGTGCCTAGTTTATGAATTAAACTTTTTCATATATATATATATATATATCTCCATGGTTTCAGGCATCGGCTAGGGGTCTTGGAACATATCCCCTGCAGACAAGGAGGGACTACTGTATCCCTTTTAAATCACAGCCTCTTTTATCCTGATTAACACAGACACCCTCTCTCTGCAGAGAAAATGCTCATCTAAGAGGCTTCCCAAACATGTAACAATTTCTCCAAGACTGAAAGAATAGCTATAGTTAAGTTTTATTTATTTTTAAGATAGCAATTTTGCTTTCCTGCTCTTTGACTATGGCAATAATTATCCACTTGAATGCTCTATGTTGAAGGAAGGAAAGAAGAAGGGAAGGAAGGGAGGAAACAAGGAAGGGAGGGAGGAAGGAAAGAAGGGAGGGAGGAAAGAGGGAGGGAGGGAGGGAGGAAGGGAGGAAAGGAAGGTGGTTGCTAGATTTAAAATGAACATTGTAACCCAGTCACATGCTTAAGGGAAACCTAGATGCCTTGCCAACCCTGGAAACTGAAAGATATCTTAATAATAACTGAAGTAAGATTTCTGATATGGTGAGTTCTCTACCACATGAGGCCTCATCTTTTTGGGGATGTGTGTGTGCTTTTTGGGGGGAGGGGGAAGTGTTTTTTTATATAAACTGTTCCAGAGTAGTTTTAGATTTACAGCAAAATTGAACAGAAAGTATGGAATATCCCCTCTCCCCTCACATGCACAGTCTCCCCCGTTATCAATACTCTGCATGAGAGTGGTACATTTGTTATGATCGATGAACCTACACCGACTCATCTTCATCGCCCATGAGCCGTAGTTTACATCAGGGTTCACTCTTGGTGTTACATTACATTCTGTGGGTTTAAATGAAATGTGTGATGACAGGTTCCTACCATCGCTGTTATACAGAATAATTTCGCTGCCCTCAGAACCCTCTGCGCTCTGCCCAGTCATCCCTCTCCCCACTGATCTCTTCCCTGTCTCCATAGCTTCTTGTTTTCCAAAATGTCTTGTAATAGAGATAATCTAACATGTAGCATTTTCAGGTTGGGTATTTTGCTTAGAAATATGCATTTAAGATTCCTCCATGCTTTTTCATGGCTTGATCGCTCATTTATTTTCAGCACTAAATACTATTCCACTGTCTAGATATACCGCAGTTTACTTATCCCTTTACCTACTGAAGAACATCTTGGTTGCTTCCAAATTTTGGCAATTATGGCTAAAACTGCTACAGGCGTCCATGTGCAGGTTTTTGTCTCAATGTAAGTTTTTGATTCATTTGAGTAGACACCAGGGAACATATATATGGTAAAAGTATGTTTATAGGAAACTGTCAAATTATCTTCCAAAGTGGCTGTACCATTTTGCATTCTCACCAGCAGTGAGTGAGAGTTTCTGTTGCTCCACATCCTCACCAGCACTCGTCATTATGTGTTTTGGACTTTGGCCATTCTGATAGGTGTGAAGTGATATCTCTTTGTTGTTTGAATGAATCTCATTTTTTAAGTCAAGAATAATAACACAACTCACAGCGTTGTTATAAGGATTGAATAAAATAATGTGTAAAGCACGTAGCACAATGCCTATCATTTTAAGAGATGCTTAGTAACTAGTTTCCTTATCCTTCCTCTCCTTGATTAAGCCTTACAACTGACACATTTTTTTCTCTCTTGGCCCATATTCTTTACCGCGGGTTTAGCAGCGCTGCTATACATGCCAAGGCCTCTTCTTACTGTCTAGTTGTCAGAAGCTGCACTTGCAGTTAGAAGAACTAGGTTTTCATTTAGACTCCATTTCTAACAATCTTGAACCAAAATCAATTTAACAATAATAGTTAAATAGTTAAGGATAAATATTAATTTTAATAAAGTTGGTCAACGAATACGCTAAACATTTCTTCAAATATAAAATTTAAATTCTTAATCTTATAGCATCCCATGTTCCATTTTTTTTTTGTTAACACCAGTTACAGCAGTTGGAGTCAATAATAAAGGTAACTGTTGTCTCTGTGAGCTTGTAAGATCACAGATCCTGGCGCCAGACTGTTGACTGGGTTCAAATCCTCGTCCCACCACTAACCAGCTGAGCAACTGAGCAATTATTTAAACTCCCTGAGGCTCAGTTTTCTGTAAAATGTAGATATAAGAGTATTTACCTCAAAGTGGTGTTAAGATTTGCAGGTGAATTGTTCTATATCAAGTACTTAGAATGTTACTTGGCACATAGTAACTGCTATATTATCATTAGCAATTTTTGTCATTATGTCTGAAAAGGGAGTGAAGGCCCAACACATTATATACTCCCCGACATTGTACCTCCCTCTAGAATTATGTGAACAATGAAATATTTAAGAATCCAGGTAAATAAAAGCATAATTATCTTACCTGACTTTTTAGTTTTACTGAACAATCTATTCTAAAGTTTTATTGATGATGCAATAGTGAAGAACAGCAGCAGGGACACTGAATTGGGTGTGACTCTGTTTGTAATTTGCGTTCTATGATTATCATGTTCCTGTGTGACCTACCTGATAATCCTA